TCTTCATTGGCATCACTCGGTTTTTGAAATCACCGTAATGCACCCAATTTGGGCTTGCTTCAAGAGGGATGTGGGATGCGATGAAGTTGCATAACAACTTTTCAACTTACGAAACTCCTTTGATACTCAACTTTCAAGAATCTCGTTAGATTCCACTATTCCTATGCTCATTTCATTTATTTTCGATTCACTTTACCTTTGACAGGAAAAAATGTTAAAATAAAAAGTATAAGATGTAAGTTTATGGGGCTCTGCATAAGTTGGACCTCTAGAAACGCTACCTGTGCCTATCTTGAAGCTTTTAAGGGATTTAGGGCATACTACATGGAGGAATCGCTCCTCGCATAGCTCTACCCCTTACACTGTTTTAACATCACTTCATTCCTTTGTAGGGGTGGAGGGATAAAGTGTCAACTGGCTCACTATCACACATGCATGGTACGAGGATTGAATCTCAGGTCGATACATTCCCGAGTTAACCAAGCCTCCATCCCTACCTGGTGTGTTGGCTGGTACCGGACTCGTCTGGGGAATCCCAGACACATCAGAATCAGAGAAAAGAAAGGCCCAAACTGGAAAGTTGGTATCAGACTAAGCCAGGAGGATAAAAGCACTGACTTGTACACTGGCTGGAAACCGCATGTCATTGTTTAGGACACATACGCATTCAATCCGCCATTAGGATTTCGAATGGGAGTCTAATGGAGGGGGGGGGGGGGGGGGGGGGNGGGGAAGGCTCACGAGATTGATCAACTCCCAAAGACTTCATCTACTATCCTTCAAAGTGGAATCTATTCAGGCAGTTTAGGATTCAGCGAAAGACCTCAATCTTTGTGCTGAAGCGCAGGTAAACAATCAAGCCTGGTAATAATTTTTATGATGAGAAAGGTTTCGATTCACAGGACGGACGGCATTCTGTCCACAAAAGCAGCCACCGTGATTCTGAAATTCAATTTTACCAATCAATGGCCGTTGTAGCTTTTACGACAGCTTTGTCTTACCAGTTAGAAACTTAAACAGAGTCAAGGCGCAAAAGTAGAGATGAAACTCGCCGTATGTAAGTGGCTTGGGATCGAACCATATTGGAGTTTGACCGTGAGAGTTTTACAATTAGTACTAAACGGCTCCGGGAGTAAGGAGGGAATGCATTCATGACTTTGAGGCTAAAAATACGTTCAGATGCTCTATGTAAGGCATTTCGAATGTTTATGCCAGCCCTTTGATTATAGGAAGTGCCTTTACGCCGACATTAGATTAATCCTTTGCGATAATCCTTGTTTATTCTTGAATCCGCTTCTAACAATAGGCCCCAAGAGCCTCACCTTTCATGTGATCAGGCTACCTATCAAAGTATTTGGCCACGATTGCCTACCCGGAAGGGATCTCTTTTGAGGGTGCAAGTCGAGTCGAATCAAGCCGCCTCAAGTGTGCCAGCGAACAGACAGCAGCGGCTGAACGAATTTTCCTAGTGACATCCGCCGCGATTTCCCTTGTCACGCAGAATTTTCGCCTTTCTCGACGACGACCTCACCCACATTCTTCAGATGTGACTTCTAATGGCTATGCTATCGTCGCTGACATCGCCGCTACTCTTTTCAACCTATATTCTGTTACTTATCAATCATGCTACCGTTGAAGCTATCGAATGCTATCAGTGCGAAAATGACTATGGAGGAATCAAGTACGTGACTCCACTTACTCGTTTTATCTTATTTATTTATTTATTTATTTTACTTATTGGTTTTATTGCAGATTTTTTCTAAAACAACCATGACTTTTCATAGTCCCACACCTTTTCGGTTTTTCAGTTGGCTGAGAATAGAAAAATAACTGGCCATGTTCTTGTCATAAATCATCCAAATTCCCAACATTTTAACTTCCATCGGAGCCCTCATTCATTCCAATTCTCCTCTCTTGAACTAGTAATTCTTCAATTAACTGACTGAGTTCATTAAGTTATTTACAATGTTTTTGGGAGGCCATGCCCATCGCTGTCATAGCTCCTTTTGTTCTACTTTTTTCCATAAATTCTGACTTCCGAAAGCTATAACCATCTTGTTGTGCTTCCACAGTATGCCAAGATATTTGCTCAACGGAACTATGGCTTTAATTTTTCAAATATGACTTTATGCAATATGGCTCACATTCCTTGTCACACGATTAAGTATTTTGTGAAATGAAAGATGAGACTTGACCAGCACACGTTTCCTGATTGCTTTGGATACCTATTGTTTTTTCCCCCTCAGTGGCGAAGTAGAGTTCAAGCTGTTCATTACTGCGTTTCCAAAGTTTCATTTCTGGGCGTTCCTACTAAACCGCTCTGGGGCTCGGGGCGAAAAAGTTAATTCTCATAGCATTCAACATCAACACTTGTGCCGGATTAAAGACCAACCAGGACAATCAGGGTATATTGAGGACAAGAGAAGAAGGAGACAAAGTTTTCCAAAATGGGTTCAACATAGCCGATCAAGTCAAGCGAATTTAGGTTGGATCAAAAGTGCCTTTAAGTTTCTGTATGGATGTGGCTCGTTTTTTCGGCCTACAAATATGTGATGCGAAGTTTTGGTCCAGACGCTTTCTTGTAGAACTGAAAGATCCTATAGAACTTAGCATAATTCCTACCCCGATTAGTCTTCTTCCTTTGGCTCTTAGGGGAAAAGTCTCTCTTAAAAATTAGGAAGAATAAATGAGTAGTGACAAAAGGTTCAAACAGAACCCATTTTCGAAACCATCATATCATTTGTCCTGTCCTAAACTTACCCTAGTTGTCCTGGTTAGTCATCAAATCCAGCACAAGTGCTCTTCGTGTTGAATGCTTTGAGAATTTACTTTTTTGGTAAGTCAAACCGAGTCCCTGAGCGCTTCAACAAGAGTGACGGAACGCCAAGAAATGAAAACCTCGGGAACGTCCTTCAGCTTCCGTATTTGCTAGATTTGAGCCGTCACAAGAGATGTTTGAACAACAGAAAATAGGCCTCCTGTCAGTATGGCAAAAGAAGAGTCTTGTAAAAAGCTGTCATCGTTTCAATTGATTCAATTGTACTTTCAAAACATTTACTTGAAAAAAAAGAAACGTCGTAAGGAATAGCTTTGTGTTAGTAAAAGCATAAGGAAGCGATTTCGATGGGGGAAACTTTGTCTTTCGAGGCTGAAAGTTTCCAACTAATGAAAAGGCATCGTGAAACTACTGAATCATTGCTATAAGCCAGAAGTTCGAGGTTCGATCGAGTCAAGAAAAGTTTGGTTGGATCAAAAACGCTCTCAAGGCTTTTGAATGTATGTGGTGTAGTGGCAGACGATATACTCATGACCCGGGAGTAGAATCTTGGACCGATACTTGCTTAGACCATTCATACATTCCATCCCTCTGACATTTTAAAAGTTTCAGATTTCAAATTGTGTAACTGAGGGATTCCTTTTTTGGGCGCAAAAAGGTCGAGCTCCAACTCATTTTCGAATTTTCAAAATTCTCATTTCTGTCATTCTCTTCCTATATTCCTCTTCCTATTTTTTTCTCTTTTACCCTTCAGTGTTGTTCTTCTTTTGCAGCCTTACTGAAAAGATCAGTGGAGATCCTGGGATGCAAATCTTAGATCCCGCCAGCTCTATTAATGATTTTCCTAGTCTCCCACGATTCTGTGCCCTAAGGCATCGGCAAAGAAAGTTTCTGCTCTTTGGTCATCGTTAAGCTTCCCATTTCGACTAATGGGAGTGAATAAACTATCAGGGTCAGACGCCTCTGTAGTTGTTGTGAATAGCGAAGTGGAGGGTAAATGACGTATTCACGCAATTATTGGATCAGTCAGGAAGCAGCACGCTTGTGGAAACGAAAAACGACCAGAATTGCTTTGGCACTCGTAAACACGTCAGGCTTCGGAAGTTGTAAAGTTGTACTCCCTCATTGTGACTGATTTCGAGAACTTATGATTTCCCTAGAGAATGTTGTACATGCGATACTTGCCAACTGATGAAGACCCGGTGAAGCTTAAAGCAAATCCTCCACAGAAGAGTGGGAGGGCACCAAATAAAAAGGTAAAGGATAAAGTCTTTGGGCGTTGATCAATTCCGTCCGAGGGATGCTCCCACGCACTCGACTTCCTTTCAGAATCGCAGCGGCGTATTGAATGCGTGTGTAGCCTAAACAATGACTTACGATGGCCAGCCGGTGTACGAGTCAGTGCTTTTGTCCTCCCAGACGAGTCTGGTACCAATCAATCGACCCCGCAGGGATGGAAGGCTTGGTTAATGTATGATCAATGTATGTATGTATGTATGGTTAATGTATCCGGGATTAGAACCCGTGTTCGTGCGTGTGGGATAGTGCGCCACTTACCACTACACCACCTCCGCCTAGATAAAAAGGTATATTTGTAAAATTGCAGCACATAGGATAATTCAAATGCCAGAAAAGGTCGGTGGAAATATTCCAGGGCGCTGTGCAAGTGGCAGAGCGGTCGGACCTAAGATCTATATCCTTCCCGGCCAACCGACTCTTTCATCCTCGCGTGTTCAAATAATTAGTACCAGGCTTCAACATCCCACTTAGGCATCCCCCAACCTACATGCGCATTATGTGAGAAGCGATTTTCGAACCGACATGTGTTTGGTTTGAGGGACTTCAGAAACACTGACTTTCGCGGGAAGGTTCATTCACAGGAGTCCCGGACAGTGTGGCTTCTACAGAAAGAACTTGGGTTCGAACATATGTAGGCATCTTGTTCGAGTTCTATTCTTGCTCAGATGGCATTCAGGAAACTGTCAAAGGGTAATTCGATCAGGGGAATTTGCTCAAGACGAAAGCTAGGAAGCGAAGCAGTAAGGAAGCTCCTCTCAGCCACTTCTTGAACGAATTTTAGAGGGCTAACAAAACATGATTGAGCTAAAAGTGGCGAGTGCCCCCTAATGGGCACTACAACGTTGATCTCCTACCGAGCTACAACATGCAGTCCAGGTAGTTGAGCCTGAGTTGGGGCTGTGCCAAGTAGGCACTACAAGTAGGTACTACAAGTAGGGCACTACATGTAGGCACTTCTTTCGCTAGGGAAGTCAAAAAATCGAAATGCACATCGAATCGCCCTTCGGAAGTCATTGTATAGATTTCATACACTGGCAATCGCCTCAGCCGTTCGCGGCGTTTGGGCACAAAGCCAAATGTGTAGGTGGATTCTAAAAACGGAAACGTTGGACGGCAAAACCTTCACCATTGTCCTCTTTATGTAATGTTGTAAGTAAACTATTTGAAATAATATAGTAGACGATAGATTACGAGAGTACGGTAGCTTCATTCACCGCTACTGTATATCAGGGTTCACCTTTAGCATATTTTTCATATACTAAATCTGAAAAATTGGCTAGGCTTTTTTTGCCTATGTTCCAATGCACCAACTTACTGAGCCTTAAGTTCAGGTGTGATACTCCATGTCGAGGAGAAAGGTGTGTGGTGTGGAAATGGCAAACGAAATCCGAAGTTATGGTAAAGCAGGTAAAAGACACTTTGAAGTTCGACGCCTTTCAGAGCAATCTCTTCCCCATCAATAGCATTAGCCTAGTAGTAGTCCTCAACGAATTCTGTAGGAGCTCTCCTTTCCAGTAGCTTTTGAAGATTATGAATCTAAGATTTGAGATCTAACAAGATGTCCAATTACAGATTACTTATTTATATACCATAGCAACAACTTGAAACCTTTTTTCCAAAATCTCACTCCAGAATTTTTTGAGATGCTTTTGCTGTTGCTCGATCGGAGAAAAATAACGGAAGCCGCAGAGTACTAATGAAGAGCTTTCCGATGTTGCGTGTTTGTTGACAACAATCACAAACTATTTAGGGTTGTGTTTCTGGAGTCGATATACATTTTACGGCAAAAATCGGCTGTCGGACAAATCATTTGGGTGCAACGCTATGCGTCTGCGAGTGAGTCACCATTTTTCGCAACAATAACTAAACAAAACTAAGATGAAGCGGAAGTGACCCGAAAAGGTGTATGGGAGGGAGGCATCTATTAAAAATGTCCTAGATGTGCTTCCTATACAAATTAATGGGAGTGCACGAACACAGGAGGGGTCACATCGCTCTCACTTGCCTGCTTCTTAAAATCTGCTTTCTCCTTTTGATTTTCTTCATGAGATAGGGTAGAGAAGAGTTGGAGAGCATACCTCCCTCCCAAGGTCAGGAAGCCTCCAATTCCTATGGATCCGCTAATTGGTATCAGACTCATACCAAAAGACTCGTAAAGACATTAATAAAGTAAGTGCTGATTCTGGTGCAGATATGAACCAGCTGGCATTAATGAGCCAGTCGGCAGCGTGGCTTCTCTTACATTTTTGAGGTGATAGTCGAAGTTTAAGCAACGTTGAAGGCTGAGGAAGCGTAATTATTGTCTGCCCGAGGATTCAGGCAATCATGGTGACAAATATAATCGAATCGGGTCCCTCAATGAAAACTTTTTGCTCGAATTGCTGAATGCTTCTAGTTGACAGTGATCCTTCGGTCATCAAGAATGAGTTGTAAAATTCCCTCAAAGTAGTCTACTCATATTGAAGATTCGGATTTCAGGGATGGCGATATGTGTAATCGAGTAGAACGGACAGAAAATACCGGCCGACCTCTGCCCGTTATTCGACTTCAAGTTGTCGATTGTATCGGAAAAGTGGTACGCATTTTGTTTTTTTATCCTTTTCATATGTAGAAGGACCGAGGCTGACCAAAGTAGAAAGGCACTTTTCTCCTCGAGAATTTGCCTCGAAAAACCTTAATAAACCTACCTTCCTCCTTCCACGGCAATTCAGCCAGTATCAAGTTCATCTGGGGTGATGAGAAGCAAGCTGGACCTTAATTGATTACTTAAGTTTGTTAGTGCAGCCGAATGCATCCTTGCTAATCTGATGAACTCAGAACCTCTCCTTCGGTCTCAAAAAAGAGTAAAAAGAGACCAGCAGAACTTTGAATCCAGTTGTATCGAGAAACTGGGGACCCTCCCGAGTTATTCACCATGGCCCATGCTCCACCAAGTTATCATTCTTTTCCCTTCATGTCGTGAGGGCAGGGCAGTGGACATTACCTGAGTCCAGTTCCATAAATTAATGTTTATTATTCATTCCTTATTCTTCAGACGGGAACTGGCCACATTGGAGCNCGCCGAGAGCATCCTTGCTCTTCAAACTACTGTCACATGACAAGGACTGAGGTATCTTCACTGAATCCTCATTGTAATTCGCTTCATTCTCCCAAACGGCTTCTTTACAGTCATTCTCTGATGATTTTCCTCCTGATGTGCTTACCGTATATGACTGTGGTGACAAGGGCGAATTTGATTTTGATTTACGATTGAAGAACACAATTGACTTCCCCGGACTGTATGCCAATGGTTGCTACCGTATCCAGTATCAACCGAAAGAGAGCGTTACTGACTGTTTTTGTTCGAAGGTTAGTCATAATAGATTTTGGCTAATTTGGAAGCTATTCCCTCCCATTCCAGAGCCACTGTAATACCAAATTGCCTGTTGTACAGGCTGGACCTGTTCGATGCTATATATCCCATGGTGCTAGCAATGAAAGTGTTGTGAGTCATTACAGATATTTTTCGTACTGTTCCGAATCACTGTTGTGACCTTATGGCCCACATATCCTACAAATTTTCTTTCAGGTCGATACTAATCACTTTTGTTATGGAGACTACTGTTTTGTACAAAAGCATGACGGGAAATTCACAAAAGGTTGTCTCTCAGTGAACGAACGCAACAGTTGGAGCCACTTGAAGGTGAGAATACGCGCTCAAAGGTGAACTTCAACCTATGGGTAAAGAAAGTCGCCTCAATAATCTAACCCATAACTAGGACAACCGGCGGGTTAGGTGCTGAATTAGCTGAATTCAGCTGTAGCTGAATTTTGTCAGATCAGCTCGTTGTTCAGAGAATTGTGCGCATAATGCAACTGACCGTCGACCGAGCTTTCGGATTTCAGATCTTTCGGCATTAGTTCACTTTTACTCGACTTCACCTCAAAATTTAATTCAATCCGAAGACAAACAGTTTCAGAGTGGTCATCGCCACATTCTCGGAGTGGACCAATGGCTGTGTCAGCATCATCTGTGCAACCTTGATCTGTCAAGAGTTGCTCGAGCAACCGCCTCCGGTCGATCGATACATCGATTCAACAAAGGAACGAGCACATTTTCTGTCCTCGTATTATTAATGTTGTTCATTTGTAGTTATTGTTTTCTATAGATAAATTTATTTCCAAAAACTAAGCTTTCTGAATTGATCTGTCATGCTGTATGCGAAATCCTGTTAATCCAAAGCATAACAGTGCCGGTTAGCTTGGACATTCCGAAGTTCCGAAGCTGCTCTAATCAACCAAGTACTTAAGTCGTCTCCAATATTTTTAAAAAATTGGAGTTAAAACAAGCAGGTCAGGAAAGAATATTTATCACTATATCTCACAAGAATGGCGATTCGTGGGCGTGGGCATTCGTTTTGCCCACGAATCGCCACTCTTGCGGGAGTTTCGCTTCGCGTACTGCGGCGGTAAAACAGCAGTTAACAAAACATCAAGTCAAAATATCACTATATCATTCGATAAATCTTCAGCCTGTTTTCGGAGAATACTATACATCCAAGCAGATTATTACATCGAACCGATTGGATAGACCGTAGAACGACAGGGACAAAGTGGTTACAGGTCCTGCTCAATGGAAGCAACTAAAACGAAAATTCAGTCCGGCACTCTGCTCTTACAGCAACCCCCTGGCCCCCCGCCATCCTCGTGTCTTGTCCAAAGCCCCTTTTCGATGCGTCGTATATGTGACGGGTAAAAATTTGCGTGTTACACGTGCCGGATTACTGTAAGAGTAATTATTCTTCAATATGGACTTCCTCCGAGGTGGAATGGGATGATCGTAAAGAGCATATTCTGCAACAGAACAAAATTGATGTGGAATTCAGCTGACGCTTTGAGCTCTAAAGTGCTGATGAGCAGATAAGGAAGAAAAATGTCAGATGCATTTAGTACATCACCTTTTTGAGGAAATTAGACAAAAATGTACTTAACATCTACTACTGAAATTCCAGTGGTGAAGTTTAAATCACTTTCGCGCGAGCAGACATGCCCACTACCTCACAGAGAGGAATGCTTCGGAAAGGCGGATGACCGAAGTGTGCTGTTGCGTTCCCCGGACAAGACTTTTGTTAAACCACTTACAGGCCCTTTAATAGCAGTTGAATATGAATTTGATTTGGAACACACTCTCTCTTCAAAGAGCCAGCACGGTGCCATTCTTGCCCTAATTTTCAACTCCTTTACTGCCTCCTTAGTGAGGGCTGCAGGAGGGCTTGGTACTAGCCATGTGCCAGGAGGCCTTTTTAGAGAACTCGGAATGTCTACCCCAAGATAGGCCTCACTGGTCTCCAATCTTCCAGGGGTAACAGTGGAAAGCCTCTTGGGACCAACTTTCTCTAAATGGTCTGCTAGAGATGAATCGTTCGCCAGTGTTCATTCAGCCCAGAACACCCGTCGCCTGTAGCACTATAACGGTTGTTATCAAACTAAGAGCCACAATGCCGAATGTCCATGCACATAATGTATGTTTGCGCTTCTTGATGAAGGCAGTACAGGCATCTATGTCGGTTGGTTTGCGATTTGCTGCAAGTACAAGATGTTTCTCTCGTTCGAATGAAACCAATGATAACTATGATAACTTACTGTATACAACCGGAGCAGGTCGTTCACGATATACATACATCTGGGGAGGTTCATGGAAGACTTCAGATCCCGACAAACCTCGCAATCTGGAGCTAAAAGACAACAAATTGATAAGAGGTGATAAAAATTACCGGTAACGATTTTTTACTACCGGCGGTGGCAGGTCTACAAATCGAGAGAGTGTTTACTTGGATGGAGAAAGACTCCTCGAGTTACAGTTTGATTGACTACGGAAAACAATCGCTTCTAATGGAATCGGAAGCATTAGGGCGATAGGCCGATAACTGTGTTGATAAGCTGTACTTACTGACAGCCGGGCTAATTGGATCTGAATAATGGTAGAATAAATATTTATTCCCCACCTACCTTATGCTTTGTAAATCCATAGGGTCAAGGAGATCCGGGTGGCAGCTCGGCTCTACGACAAAACGTGACGAGCCTTCACACCTGTGAACCGTGGGACGCGTCATATCGAAAACATTGTCGGTACGATCCGCTGGTGTTAGTGAGATCAACGGCAGACAGACGCTAACGGACTTATACCGAGGAGAGCGCTGAAGGCGAGCAATTAGATTCATATGAATGGTTTTGTGGCAGTTTTTGTTTTGGAGATAATTTGAAGATAATTGATGTGGATAACTCCGCTCAGCGTCAACACTGAAGAGTAACATCTGATGAATGAGGAAATGTAGAGCCTGAAGTCGAACCCACGTCAGGCTAGCCAAATTCGAGGAAAGACCCAGATTAAATGCTTCCCCATTGTTCTAGCTTCAGACAGACTACGGTACGGAAAAATACCGGATTTGGTTTCCCGTCAACAACATCGACGATGACTTCTTCCAATGGTGCAAGGGTTTCATGTCTTTCACGCCGTTGTTCGTGGATAAATGATGAACGTCTTCGAAAATTCCGCTCTATTCGTTCAGCTGCTACAGTCATAGCTGAATGGAAAGAAGTCAAAGTCAAAGATGGTTTGATGAGGTGAAAGCAGCTAAAGAACGAATATCCCGCGAAAGAACAGACCATGACAGAGGCAAGCGGAGGATTGTTAAATAGAAAAGGAGAGCGAGCATTTCCTATGCGTTGATAGTATTGTAGCGTTACAATCTCAAAAAATGACTGCATTTGTGGGTGCTTCGCTGATGAGCCAGAAGGAAGCCAGCATTTAGTAGGCGGCTTCCAGGTAATGATGCTGCACAGTGAGCGGCAGGAGCCAAAGATAGCGCTGTCACACGCTCCTTTTACGGTGGCCGATAGGAACAAACACGATAAAATTCTAAAGTTAGACCGGCGCCCAATGCAATGACGCCATTTACACTAAGGACTGGCTATCTGTGATCTTCACTCACCGTAATGAGCAGATACACCCCTGTTGGACTATTGGAGCACTCTATTCCTTTACAAGACTTCACCAACTCAGTCAAGAGGAACGAAAAGCAATAAAATGCATTAGTCATAGTCTGGCATGCCATTTACAAAAATGTATTGGGAGCATCCCGTCGAGGGTTATAGTAGCGATCCTTTCTGGTCATGTGTAAATAATGTCGGTCCTCCTTCCTTCTGGGTCGTCAAATGGTAAATGACTAGCTTCCAAGAGTAAAAGCATTGACTTCAACTTTGACACGGTATATCTTTCTACAGGTCACATGCGCATTCAAAATGCTTTCGCGACTGTGAATGAAAATCGCATTATCGCAGTTTACGATGGAAATGATTTTTGAAATAATCTCTTAGGGTGAATCCGTGGCCCCTCTTCTATCATATAT